TGCATGCATCACCACCCTGGTTGGTTATATAAATGGATAGCTGATGGAAAATTTCAACTCTTCCATGCATGCTGCTTAGAGAACTTAAGTAACTTGCCCACAACTATACCCATAAAAACCAGGATGTAAAACAGGCCCACACTATTTCCCCATCTTGCTTCTTAGCTAAGGAACTTTGACAAGTATTCTGTAACAACAGCACTCTTGCTCCAACTATTATCTTCTGCTTAGAGATCTTTTAGAGGGCTCAGCAGAATGCTTACATCATGTCAAGCTGCTCACAACTGCCTGAAACTCCAATGCCAGGGGATCAGACACCCTCTTCTGGCCTTTGGGCATACTACACTCATATACACAAACCCACATACAAGACCTTTAGGAAAGGGCAGGCTAGACTGTGCTGCTCAGTCTGAGAACTCTGCTGTAGCATATGATGGGCTTTCATAGCAGCCCTCTGTGGCTTCACTCAGGAAATAAATAGGGAGCTCTGTTGTCTTCTTCCCTTTCCTCTTTCTTCCATACCGGAGATTGAGACAACCACTCAATGACATCCCAACCTTTTTTTCTTTTTTTAAAACTTTTTGGGACAAGGTCTCACTGAGTTGCCCAGGATAGCCTTAACCTTTTTATCATCCTGCTTCAGCCCCTCAAGTAGCTGGGATTACAGGCCCGCATCAACAGACCTGGCTAGCTCTGCTGTCAGAGTGAGGACACACATCTACATTTCTCTTACACATGCCACAAATCAAAGCACTACTTGAGAAGAGGAAAATAGCTGACATTTTTTAAACTGCAGGGAATCTTTCAAAAGTCAACTTCTTTATTTAAACTTTGTAGTGCTGGAAATCAAACTGAGGGCTGATCTACATTCCCACACTCGTCAAATATTATTTTACGGGGAAAAACAAAACAACACAAACTTGTGAAATAATTCAGGGAATGCTGCTCACCACCGCCATCACTCTTCTCCGTGACACTACCTACGGGCACAAGGGAGCTCTAACCATGGGCACATTTTGCCCTACTTTTCTCAGTGTTCCTCGACTTAATTTTAACACTTTCACTAATAACCTAGTTGCAACAGTCCCCAGAGAACTGGTTTGTAACAAGATCAGACAGGCATTACTATCCAAAGAGTTTCAGACTACAGCACAAGCAGAGGAACACAGTTTGATAGGAAACGTCCTCAGTGGAGCAGTAAAGGACTTCTAGGGTTCTGCTAACATAGTCTTGCCGGGAAGCGCCAACTAAAGCCTGTAACGATGAAGGTTTGATGACAGCTGGGTCAGCATCGTGAGAAATGGGGTCTGAGAGGCTAGGGGAGCTGTGTGGCACCAAGTATGTGTGTCATCTTAAAATACACACCAATGGCCTGGCTCTCTGACTCCCAAAGCTCTAGGCCATCCTTCTACAACACCACGAACAAACCCTACTCTGCACATGCCAAGGAATGCACCCATACAGCAGACATCAGCTACAACAGTCTCTAAAGGATGCTGAGGCAGGAGGACAGTCAACAGAGTTCAAGGCCAGCCTGGGATGCACAGTGAAATCCTGTCTAGAACACACACACACACACACACACACACACACACACACACACACACACACACACACACACACACACCCAGAATCAGAGTTCAATAAAAGAGTGCCTGAAAGCTTCCACCCTAACGTATCCTGAGTCCTACGTCTGAGATGACAACTACCTCAACAGGCTGAAACCACAAGGCAAACAGGATGGTATTTCGTTTTGTTTTGTTTCTTAGTCAGGGTCTAGTGTTTTTAGCCTGGCTCCTAATCCTGCCTCCCTCTCTAATACTGGGATTGCAAGTATGTGCTACCACACCCAGAACCAAGTTGGAAGGTATTAAGAGCCCAAAGCATTCATGGGTGAGGTGTGAACCAGTCAAGAGGGGTAGATGGAGGATGGAGAGATGGCGCTCTTCTAGAGGACTGGGGTTGAGTTCTTAGCGCCTACATGGTGGCTCACAATCACCTATAACTCTAATTCCAGGGGATCCAACACCTTCTTCTGGCTTCTGAGGGCACTTACATGGTGCACAGACATATGTAAAGGAGACATATAGGCAAAATACCATACACATAAAATACTAAAATAATATAAAAATAGAGCCAGGTATGGTAGCACACGTCTTTAATCTCAGCACTTGGGCAGCAAAGGCAGGGGGGACATCTTTGAGTTCAGTCTGGTCTATGTAACAAGTTCCAGGACAGGCAGAGCTACATAATGAGATCCCATCTCTAATAAGGAAGAGGTATGCATGAGAGAGAGAGAGAGAGACAGACAGACAGACAGACAGACAGACAGACAGACATAGACAGACAGAAGAGAGAGAAAAAAAGGGAGAGAGAGGGAGAGAGCACACTTGTTTCATGGTAGTAGAAGTCTGATGAGCTGATTAGACTTCAAACCCCCCATTCCTCCTGCCTCAGCCTCTTGAGTGAGTGCTGGGATTATAGGCAAGGGCCACCTTGCCTGGCCCTTACTCTGGTTTCTTTTCAACTGGATCCCTCCTCAATCCTGGTCCCTGATGTAAGCTGCAGGTACTCACTCTTCCTTCCAGCCAAAAGAAGAGATACATAAGTCACTGACCCTGAAACACATTTTCAAGTGTAACTCACTTAGATATTATTCCTGGTCCAAAGACAACTGGATAATTAGTAGAAAGTTACATATAAATGAATTATAGTTAATAAAAAAATAATTTAACATTTATTTTACTTATGGGTGTGTATATGCAGATGCCTGAAGAAGCCAGAGACACTGGATCCCCCTGAAGCTAGAATTACAAACCACTGTGAGCTGCCAAATGTGGATGCTAAGAACTTAATTCCAGTACCCTACAAGACCAATATGTGCTTTTAAGTGCTGAACAATCTCTCTAACCCTATAGCTAATTTTTATTTGTATTCACAATATATGTGCTATCTATATGCAGATATAGGAGAAACAAGGACTGAAGCTACTCCAGGCAGTGGTGGTGCACGTCTTTAATCCCAGCACTTGGGAGGCAGAGGCAGGTATTAATTAGATCTCAGTGAGTTCAAGACCAGCCTGGTCTCCCACAGCCAGTTCCAGGACAGTCAGGGCTACAAAAAGAAAACCCCCCTTGAAAAACAACAGGGGGTTGGGAAGAGGGAAGAGGGAGGAATCTGTGGTTGGTATGTAAAGTGAACAGAAAATTTCTTAAGGAAAAAAAGAAAAGAGAAAAACAACAACAAGAGAACTGAAGGGCAGCCTCAACTCTAGGCACTGTGGGTTACATCCTGTTTTCAAAGCAGTCAGTTCTATTCCTTTATTTCATTTTCCTGTAGGACACCTGGGCTTTCTCTCAACATCTCTTATTCCCACCTCTGGGTAAATACACAAAAATAGTCAACGACCTTCATGTTAGTTTTTCTAACACATGCAATGTGATGACACTAGACAAGGACACAACTATAATCCCAGTGATACTTACACATCACTCTGTGGTTTGCAAAGCATTTTCACAAATACGGTTACTGGGTTCAAAACAGTGTACTGAGGATGGTATAACAGAGCTATTTGCATTTTACAGAGGACAGAGCTGAGAGAGTAGAGGTTTGTGGTACACAATTCCACATTATCAAATACTATTCAGAAATTACCTCACTGTATGTAACATCTTAGTAAAAAAAAAAATTAATCAAAATATATTCTAAAACCTACTTTATTTTTCAGATCTGTCTGTTACTCATTCTTCTCTTAGCCTAGGCCCACCATGGGATTAGTGTTCAGAGGTAGGAGGGCTGGCCAATGTTTGAGGATAGCCTGGTCTACATAACTGCAGGCTACCCAAGGCTAGGAGAGTAGCTCAGCTGGTAAAGTACTTACTCGTCTTGCAAGCATGAGGATCTGAGTTTGATGTCCAGAACCCACATAAAAAAGCTGGGTATGGTGATGATGCACTGAATTCTAGCACAGAGGAGGCAGAAAACAGGTCAATTCCAGGACTCACTGGCCAGCCAGTCTAGCCTAATTGGGGGGTTCCAGCCAGTGAGAGACTTTTTCTCAAAAACTAAGATGGCTGAGAACAGCACACGAAGCTGTCTTCACACCTGTGTACACACATACATGTACACCCTTACACTTATGTGCAAAGGCAAAAGACCCCTAAGCCCATCTATTTTTTCCTAAGAGTGGTAGCACACTTGTAATCCAGCACTTGGAAAGCAGAGCTAGGAGGATCTGGGGTACTGCTTCGCCTCAGCTATGTAAGACTATCTTAAAACAGAACAAGCCGGGCGTGGTAGTGCATGCCTTTAATGCCAGCACTTAAACAAGCAAAAAAGAAATACTAAGCAATACATGTTTGCCCAAGAAGTGTCCCTCGAAATTCTATTTCTAAATCAGACAGTGGTGATGCACACCTTTAATCCCAGCACTTGGGAGGCAGAGCCAGGCAGATCTCCTGAGTTTGAGGCCAGCCTGGGCTACAGAACAAGTTCCAGGACCACCAGGACTACACAGAGAAATCCTGTCCCCCAAAACCAAAATGACAGTGACAGTTCAAGTTCTATTTCATACTATTATGGTCTACAGAATCTGTAACAAGCAAGGGCCAATATATTTTAAACTCATTTCTCTACCTAGCTAAATTTTAAAACATTTTATTTGTATTGCTCCTTAATTACAATGTTGGAGATATGGATTTATACAAGTATTACTGTACCTCTGAATGCTAATTTTGCTCATAGGTAATGGGTCTTTCTAATTATCATTTTCCCTGCTGGAAAGAAAACCAACTACCTATGAGGCTTTGGGAGCAGAAAGGAGAACAAGCAGGCTGGGTACCTGGACTGAAATGATGACTAGGCAAGGACAAGACATTAATAGTGCATCCTCTGAAACCCCTGTCTAATTCCCAAGAACACAAGTAACTTTAAATGGACAGCTAACTTCAAATTAAAAATGAAACCCATGCTCTGCAAAGGCCAGTGTTCATAAGGTTTACCTCCAGTGCCAAGGCGGTCTTGTCATAAGCACACGGTACTCTCTTCTGGATTGCTTTTGCAAAGACAGGTCCATTCTGTGTGGATGGCAAAGGGTTGATCGCTGCCCCAGGAGTACTGGCAACTGTAGGTAGAGGAGTTGTGGTCTGAGGTTGAGCGTACGCGTGAGCAGGTTCTGGGATGCCATAACTGTTAGAATTCCTATTTCCATGCTTGCCATGTGGTGAGGACCTCACAAGCTTTTCAACGTAAGGGACAGGAATCATTCCAACCCGGCCATCCTTGTTCCGAGCACTCCACCACTGTTCTTCAGGCTTTTCTATTATCACTAGAATCTCACCCTTCTTAAAGGGTAGGTCTTCAGCATCATTCCCAGGAAAGTCATAGAGAGTCCGTACATACTCCACATTTTCTTCTGCTGCAGACAAGTTGGGTGCTGAGACAGAACCCATGGGTGGACTTGGATACCTTAAGAGAGAAACAGAATTATTCTGAAGAAGAGTCTTATCTTATTCTATACTGGTGTCTGTCCACACTCTATCACCCCCCTTCTCTACCCACCTTCACTGTACTCAGTAATTAAGAATGTTTGTCACTGTACACTCTGGCTGTACTTTCTAAACCTTAAATAGACTTTGTGTCATGTGTGCACATGGTCACATGCACCATCACCCACAATGGGTTTCGAGAAGGTTTTGTTTCCAGATAACTGATCTGAATTCATCACAACCATCACAGACACATTTTCTCACACTCTCCATCTGTGAACACCACGGCCAGTTAGCTGGCTCGGCAGTATGTTTACTGTGCACACTTATGACCCGAGCTTGAGCTCCCAATCAATGTAAATGCTGGAGAGAACCAACTCCACACAGTTATCCTCTGACCACATACATGTCTGTACCCTCCTCCCCAGCTGATAAAACTAAAAAACAAACAAAACAAAACACAGAAAAAGAAGTCAAGTGTGTAGTAAGATGGGATGTGTGTGTGACTGATTGTGGTGCACACACCTTTAACCCATCCCCAGGAAGGCAGAGGCAGACAAATCTCTAAGTTCCAGGCCAGTATGACCTATAGAGCAAGTTCCAGGTCATCCACCAGAGCTGAACACGAGTCCTGGCTCAGAAAGACAAGGACTGAGAGGGAGGGAAGGGCAGTGCTCGCCTACTGTGTACAAGGCCTGGGTCTGAGCTGTCTCTAACAAACGAAACCAAAATCCAAACATTCTATTTTAGTCCAAGTTTTAAAAACTCAAGTTGAACTACTTTCCAAACAGTCCTCCACAGTTCTTTTGTTTTTACCGTTTTAAGGAAGTTTCACCGGAAGAACAAAACAAAGAACAACAATAAAAAGAAAGAAAAATGGGGTGGAGATGGTCATTGAAGTGATTATGACACAAATACCTGAGTTCAAACCTCTAGTGCCTAAGTGCAAGGTCACGCATGGCCTGAAGTACCTGTAGGGTCGGCCGGCACAGGGGAGGCAAAGGCAGGGAAATTCCGTGGCCAGCCAGCAGGCTTGGTAAGAGACCCTGTCTCAAAAAGGAAGGTAGAGGGGCCAGGGAAGTTACTCAGTGGGGAAAGGTGTTGGCTGTGCAAGCCTGCAGCTCTGAGTTCGATCCGCGAGAGTCTCGTGAAAAGCTGGATGTGGTGGCACCTGTAACCCCAGCACTCCTAGAATGAAATGAGAGCCAAGGCAAGAATCACCTAGAAGCTTTAGGGCTAACTAGTCTGGAACACTCTCTAAAACAGCAGAAACAAGAGAGATCCTGACTGAATCCTGAAGGCTACCTTTTGACTTCACATGTGTGCTGTGGCAATGTGCCCCAACCCTTGCAAAATTAGTAAGTTAAAACAAAAGGTGGCAAGTGATTTTTTAAAACATTTCATCATTTGCATGGGTGTTTTGTCTGCATGTATGTCTGTATACCATGTGTGTGCTGTGTCACAGAAGCCCGATGTCAGATTCCCCAAGACTGGAGTTACAGGCTGTTTTGAGACACTATGTGGGTGCTGAGACTCAAATCTGGGTCCTTAACTGCTGCGACACTGTAGTGATTTAAATGAGAATGGCCCCTATAGGCTCATGTGTTTGAATAGTTCAGTTGGTGGATCCTTTTGGGAAGGATCAGGAGGTGTGGCCTTGCTAGAAAAGATTCGAAAAGGCCGATGCCCTTCCAGTCATCCCCCCCCCCCCCCCCCCCCCCCGCTTGGGCCTGTGATTCAGAATATAAGCTGCTGCCCTGCTCCCGCCACAGTGGTCATGGACTTGAGTCCTGTGAGACCACGAGCCCCAATACACATTTTCTTCTCTAAGTCCCCTTTGCCAAGGTGTCTTATCACTGCATAGAAAATTAACTAAGACAGCCATCTCTTCAGCCCTGAAGAGCAATTTCTGAGGAACACACTCACTGTCAACCTTTGGCCCTCACATACAAGCATACACATATACTTACACCCATTCACATGTACACATATGCATACCCAAGCAAAGGGCTTACATGCTTGCCAATTTTTTTTTTTTTTCTTGTGACAGGGTTTCTCTGTGCTGTTTTGGTGCCTGTCCTGGATCTTGCTCTGCAAACCAGGTTGGTCTCGAACTCACAGAGATCCACCTGCCTCTGCCTCCCAAGTGCTGGGATTAAAGGTGTGTGCCACCATCACTCAGCGCTTGCCAAATTTTTAAAGGATCCCAAATTCTATCTTCAACAAGAATTATCTCCTAACCATTAAAATAAAAGTTGTACTGCAAAATTCACAACCATCAGCTCACTACCATCAGCCCCACTACTACTGGGTTTACATAGTCAACATGTATTTGCCATGGAGAATGCACATCCAGAGTCCCAGCTGGGAGTGTAGTTCAGTCACATGGCAGCACAAAGCCCTGGGTTCTCTCCCCAGCACCAGTTAAGGAAAACAAACAGGTTTGAGAAACATAGTATCTGCTCTTCAGTAACAGCTTATGAAAAACTAGTACAGAAGTCTCTCTTCACCCAGGAAATATTCCGAAAACATGCCAACGTGCCAAATCTGGGGAGAAACCGCTTACCACTACCTTTCCCAATTTTTCCTGAAGCACAGAATCTACCAGATTGAAAAGAATCTCAGTTTTAATCAGGGTCCACACCTCCTTAGGAGATGGCTTCAGCAGCAAGACCATCACCGTGCCCATTCTAGCACTGTCCTGAGGGATATGGGTTTACTGGTTTAATCATTCATATATTATTCTAATTTATTTTATCTTCACTTATCTAATGCTCATTTTCTTTCTTTCCTCTCATTAGTGACCTAAGTAACATTCCCTATAGCTACCCTGACATGTTTTATGTTGTTTATTTAGTGTGTATTTTGGGGTGCTCCCTCATTCCTGGAAGTGCACACGGAGGTCAAAGGACAGCGTGCAGGAGTCAGTTCTCCCCTTTCTACCAGCAGATTCCAGAGGTTAAACTCAGCTTGTCGGGTTTGATGACAAGCAACTTTACCCACTGAGACATCTTGCTGGCCTTTGAAACTTCTTGTTTTGTTTTTGAGAGAGTCTCTCTATGTAGCACTATCGGGAACTCACTATGTAGACCAGGCTGGCCTCAAACTCACAGAGATCCACCTGCTTCTGCCTTACCAAGTGCTGGGATTAAAGGTATGCTACCATGCCCAGATAGTTTATGGCTTTCTTCAAGTCCTGTATATACCTACCTATGAGAATGTCTATACTTAATTTAGCAAGGGTGTTTCTGCATGCTTCATGATTACCTTTCTGGCAGGATATTTTATTCTGTAAGGCTACTCAATGAAGCAACCCTGGATATTAGTTTTTTTTCTAATTTTCCCCAGATCCTCTGCAAGAGCAACATGTACTCCACGCTGTTGAGCTGTCTCTCTGGCTCCAGGCTTCCTCAATGTTGTGGACCCCTGTGAGTCTAGTTTTGGTTTCTTTTCTCTTTTTCTTGGTGCTGGGATCTGAACCTGTGATTTTTAGAGTGCTATACACACACTCTTCCATTAGGCATATTTTCTCAACATTAGACTTTCTATAAATGCCCAAAGGTAAAGAACTGAACTTATTTTGTTTTCTGTGTAACAGCCCTGGCTGTCCTGGAACTCTTTTGTAGACCAAGCTGGTCTTGAACTCAGAGTCTGCCTCACCCTGCCTCCCAAGCGCTGGGATTAAAGGTGTGAGCCACCACCACCTGGCCAGAACTGAACTTTTTTATGGTTCTTGGTACAGGCTACTACATTGTTTTTCAAAAGGCATCTTACATAATCGGCAAACATAACTTTCTAATACAAATAACTACTTAAATTAAAAAAAAAACACCCCTTGTTTCTTACTAATCAAGAGCAAATGGCTTAATATCAATCCACCTAAAAAAGGACAATGGGAGCAGTAAGCATAAGAAAAAGTTAATATTTATTCATGGAAAAGTTTAGCAAGTCTTTTGTTTATTTTAAAGGTTTATCCTCATGTTTAATTATGTACATATGTGTATGGGCATGTGCACATGAACCGTAAGTATCTGGGGAGGCTGGAAGAGGACATCAGATACCCTGGGACTTAAGTTAGAAGTGAGCTGCCTCGAGTGTCCTGGGAACCAAACCTGGGACTTCTGAAGGAACAGCAGGCGCTTTTAACTGAGGAACCACTTCTGAAGCCTCAAGCTTTTCGGTTTTTAAAGACTTGTTTTATTTTATGTGTATGAGTATTTCGCCTGCATGTCTGTCTGTGCACTTGCATACCTAGCACTTCAGAGGCCAGAAAGAGTCAGAGCCCCTGGAATTCAAGTTATGGATGGTTATGAGCCACCATGTGGGTGTTGGGAATTGAACCCAGACCCTCTGTAAGAGTAACAAGTACTCTAAAAGGCTGAGCCATCTCCCTAGCCCCAAGAACTTTCTTTTTAAAGATGGTCTCACTATGTGTAGCCCAGGTTGGCCTTTAGCTTACCGCTCTCCTGCTTCCAGTTCCCAAATGCTGGAACTGCAGGCATATACCACCAAGCTTGTGGTTTGTAGTCTTGGTGACAGACTTAATAACGACAACAATCCAGAGGCACAGATTCTGACACCTACATTAAGAGTGATATACACAACAGGGTCTAGATTTCCATCCAGAAAAATCTATGTAAGTCCTCACTCACTGCCTCTGAGATAATTAGCTTCAGAACAAACTGTATCTTTTAGGTAAAGAATTTATGTCAATGCATTTGAGACATCCACAACAACTCCTGATAGGCAAACTCTCTTGTGTGGCATGCACATACACCTTAAAAGCATATCCCTGTTCCTATTTCAAGAACCAGAGATTCTATTCCAAGTTTGGTGTGTACCATACGGATTTTACTTTACAGCATAGTAAGTCCTATTTCAGCTCTCATCCAAGGGTGTTTGACAGCCAAGGCTACACAGAGAGAGCCCGTCTCAAAAATAAATGGACAAATAAACAACATAACTCCAAACAGTTAAACA